TTCTTCACTTTCCATCGTTCCTAGTGCAGTTCTCCCCTGTTCCCGTTCCCGGGTAGCTAAAGAGCTGTTGGTATACTAGTCGTATTATCGTACTATTCATATCATGCGTGAGCAGAAGAGACTTGCAATGGCCCCCCATTCGTTGGGTAGAGCCGTTTTAATGGTGCGCAACGTGCGCAAGATAGATGCACGAAGGCAATGCTTAAATAAATGAAAACCAAGAAATATGACCGTATAAATGTATTAAAAAGCAACAACAACAACAACAGCACGAACAAGCATAAAGCATACGTAACGGTAGCTGTGGCAAAACAAGCCAAGGAAATTCGATGTGTGGGAGAAATTGAATTGGGTTTGCGGGACAGGACGAGCGGAGGGCCAAGTCGAAGCTAGATGCGCCTGCAGTTGGGGTAGATTTTTGCGACATGGGGATGATTGTTGTTGCTGTTGTTGTTGTTGTTAATGCTGCATGGATCACCTGGCTTGAGCTCACAACTTACGCACAATAAAGCAAAAATTAAAAAGAGCAGAAACTAAAAGAGTCTAATGCGTAGAGGCCGCACCGTCCCATAGACGTATGACTCATGCAGGGTAAACACAATGTCGAGCAAGTCTTGGCGAATTCGACTGTAGCAAATGGTATTTACGACTGATAGGAGAGCCAGTTGGGAGACTGAAAGGTGGAAGCTGCTTACCTGTGGGCGTGACAAACAGCCCCATCCCATGCTTGCCCCCATCACTTACCAGCTTCCCTTGGCATGAAGTAAAAAAGGCAACGGTTCCATTGTTTCCATTTTTACGTTTTCGTTTTCTTTGCCTGCTCTATGCGAGGGTAACACGATTTGCTGATAAAGTTCGTAAAGCATGAAGTTTGCCTGGTAGAAGCGGGTGTAACAGCTAAAAGCGAAGATGTGAGGGATCGTAGGGACAATTGGTGGTTGAAGTTTAGCTATACTTGAGGGGAGACGAAGGTATAGGGAAGCAATATGAAAACCTGGCCATGAGTATATATAATAGATACTTACTTTTTGTCATAGATTTAACATATATTCCAAATATATATACTATACTATTTTAAATAAATTAAATCAAGGTAGGGCCGATACTGATGCCGTCTATGAACTCCAGGGAAAGGGCTTCTACTCTTATATATATATATTTATATATATATGTATATTTCTATGCCTTGGCCATATTTCTATACTTTAGTTATATAGCTAGAAGTATAGAGATGTTTTGGGGTCACTTGTTGTTGATGTTTATTAAATTATAACACAATTATAATTATCTCCATACTTTTTTATTTGATTAAGCTCATAGGATATTTATTATGTTACGATATATGAACGTGTAATGTGACGCGCTAAAGCTTAAAGAGTAAGATCACCATTCCTATTAACTAATGATGGTAAATTGAATGATTGTTTATTATCGATAGTATCGATTAAGAATAAGCGTGGTGCCAGATCGCCACAGGAGCTAAGATATTCAATATATGGTCTGTCTATATCTTAGGTATATTACATTAACTATATATCTATCTTTTGACTGTATGTTTCTATATGTACTATACCTTGGCTATATACCTATCTAGCTCCATGGCAGCTGTAGACCTTAAATTTAGGTCTTACTTACTCTTAGGTGTATACCTTACCTCCCAGCTCTCTCCACTCTACTCGCTTCACTTAGCCATAGCACTTGCTCTCTTAGGGTATTGAATCTTCAGCCTGAACAAAGGCATTTTACTTTTTTATTGTGTAAATTTTTCTTTTTAGTATGTTGTATTGTTGTTGCTCAACTTAATGGCCATTGTTGTTGTTGCTGCTGTTGTTGTTGTTGTTGCTGCTGCTGCTGTTGCGGCTGTGGCTGCGGGTCGCAACAATGGTAGACAAAAGGCGCCAACACTTTTGCATCACTTCGATTGTAATTTCATGCCCGAATTATCCTTGGGGAGACATTTACCCTAAACGAAGGCGCGCACACACACACACACACAGCTCGAGAGACAAGTTCATGTATATAAATTTCAATAGCAAGCGGCGAAAAGCAAAAGTCAAATGCTAAAGGGGGCGCGCCGAACAGGGGGCGGGAGCCAAGCACACACACACACACACAATACAATACAGCAATTGCAACAGCAACAGCAGCAAGACATAGACAAACACCAATACACACACACACACATACGAATATACACGCACACCTTTATTATTATTTTTACACTTAACTTCCGGTTTACGCCTATTATGCCCAGTGTTCGTTTCCACCTTCCTTCAGCCCGCCGTCTGCTGCGTCCCTCATCCAGCTCCACCTCGTCCTGGCATCAAATTACGAAATCCTCGTTCTACTCCAACTGCTGTGCATTGTGTCTGTGCGCTCTGCCTCATCGTTCGCTAGATGAAGTTATTGTCCCTGGCATGTTTTGTTGCTGCTACTGCTGCTATTGCTGCTATTGTTGTTGTTGTTGTTGTTGCTGGGCGCGTGTTTTCACGTGTTCGTTCCGCATAGTTCCGTTTGATATGCCACAAAGGTGTCACAGTCAACGGCATTGTCCACATGGCTGCCACAACCTCAGTTACTCCAAGTATGTGTGTGTGTGTGTATGGCATACTTCCTCTTTTGACGCCGAAAGTTCCATTTTTTTTGTGTGTATTTGCTAGGTATTCCCGCACGCATTGAAAGGCGCCTTTGGTCTTGCCTGCCTGACATTGAGATATCAGGCCGTTCAGGATTTAGCTTATTTGGCTTTATTTAAAGTTCAAACTGGAAAGAGAGTGAGAAAGAGAGAGAGAGGAAAAGAGAAAGAGAGAGAGAGAGAGAGAGGAATAGAGAGAGATGGCGAGGAACAGTGCTAGAGCGCATAGCCACTGCGTATTCCAACTATTCCCTATAGAGTTACAATCGAATCTAGCTGGACTCGATAAGTGTGATGTTATTATCGACAGCAATATTTCAGCAACTGCTCAAGTTATCGATAACAGTCGAGTGAGACTGTCTAATCTTTGAGATCTTAAATTTGAGATCTTGTTACATGACTTGAGCTCAAACAGGAAAGAGAAAGAGAGAGAGAAAGAGAGAGAGTGAGAGAGAGAGAGAGAGAGAGAGCGAGAGCGAGAGAAGGACAGAGAGAGATGCCGAGTTGCAGGGCTAGAGCCAATAATCAATGCGTATTACAGCCATTAGCTATCGAGACAAAATCGAATCTAGCTTGACTCGATAAGTGTGATGTTATTATCGATAGCTGCATTTCAAGAGTTGCTCAATTTATCGATAACAGTCGACTTTGGCTGCGTAATCTTTGAAATCTTAACTTTGAGATCTTGATACATGAATAAGTGTCTTTATACCAAATTTCCATCCAATAGACCCAAAGTGTTGCAAAGGCCTTACACCTGTTTAGTATATTATGTAGCATAAAGTAGAGTATAAAATAAATATACAAAACATATCACTTTAACTGCATATATAAACATATACATATAAAATTTGGAAACCAATTCTTAAATCTGGAAAGTAGAGCTGATATTTGGTTTAGTCTGACTCGACTGATTGAATTGGTTTGCTGGCGCAGTTGCTGACTTTATAGCCTAGCTAGACTTCAAATTGCTGCTACCACAAAACGCACATGTACAGAGTGTGGGTGAGAGAGAGTGAGGGAGAGAGGGAGACAGCGAGACAGACGCTTTGATTGATGCGTCGTAACTTCGCGTGAAATTGCACACCAGAAAATCCAAAGCGGTGGCAGCAGGCAGCGAGCAGGTTGTAAAGGCAACAGCTACTTGTAAAAGCCAAAACAAAGCCTGGCTAAAACGGAAGCAAGCACTCATGCCACACACCCACACACACGCACACTCTTACGTAGTTGTGCTTGGGCGCCTCTCGACAGCTTTAAAATAGGAAATTAAAATTCCAATAATAGCATTACAGCCAAATGCCAGCCGCAGGTGAGCGTGTGTGTGTGTGTGCGTCTCCCACTCACCTATGTGTGTGTGTGTGTGTGTGCAGCCACTAAGCGTGCTTTAACTTCTATGTATGTCTTTCGGTTTTTGGCTTTCTATCTGTCTCAGTCGTTGTGTGCGATAAAAATAAATTAAGCCACAAATTGCAATTTAATTTAAGGTTTACTTTTTGCCGAAAACCTTCCACAGCGACAACTCGCTGTGCCGCCGTTTAAGTGTTGCCAAAAGCAACCTAACAGTACCAGTCCCAACTCACCGCCACCGCCACCACCCGCCCTCCCCTCTAGCTCAAACCCCAATCTTAGCTCTCCCCAGCCAGCATTTTGGTCATATTAAAATATCTTGGCACATATTTTTTGGTTGCCGCGACTGTGGCCCCTCAGCGTGTGCTGTAGGTGTGGAGCTCAGCGCTCCAGTCTCCGCCTTGGCTTCCCCTCTCCCTCTCCGCCAAGCTCCCTCGGTGCGTGCGTGTTTTTGTACCGAAAATTTATGGCATTGCAATTGCAAATATAATTAAAATTTTCAGCTAGCTGCGCAGCGCAACTTTTATTTAATTTTATGTTTGCCTTTTGCTATTTCCTTTCAGCATTTAACTAAGCGTTTTTTCTGCCACATATCAGATGCTTTTCTCCCACTTTAGTCGTATTATAAAACGTTTGCTACATATTTTTTACAGCTCTTCAATTTGCTTTCGAATTGAATTACAATTGATAATTATCAAAAAAAAAAAAAAAAAAAAAAAAAAAAATAAAATAAAATAAGTAATAGTGCGTAATAGGGCGTGGTACCCAATATCAATAAATTAAAAAATCTTTGCATACTGCGTATGCATGCCGAATTTCAGCTTACTAGCTCATATATCTTCTGAGATCGGCTTGCTCATACGGACGAACCGACGGACAGGACTATATCGACTCAGCTTATCGCCGTGATCAAGAATATATACTGTATGGGGACTACAATGATTCCTTCTGCCTGTTACATACTTTTCACAAATCCATTATACCCAAATTTCCCATTTTTAATGAGTTCAGGATATACTGCAATTTTCATCACGTTTTATTTGTACAACATTTCATGGCACTAAACTTAAAGTGTGTTTTACTTTTCCGCGTGTGGCACGATGTAAAAGCGGAATGTTCCTTGCTTGTTTGCAAAGCCCGCAATGTAAGGCTCTGAGAGCAGGAAACAGAGTTCAGTGCGTGGATCGACCATGTTGGGAAATTCCCAGTCTGTTAGTTTCTTGTAGCCGGCTGTTGAGAGTTTGGCTCTTACTCAAGACATGTTTCTTTCCAATAAGACAAGGGGCGGTCCAACTTACCACGTATTTGCGAGAGCGACATGGTGCGTTCGGGCGAGAAGCATTCGCCGCTTGATAAGACACGCCTCACATCAGTCAGAATCTCGGGATTCTCGCGTTTGATATTATATACAAAATTATCGAAGGACATTTCTTAAATGTTTATATATTAAATGAAACGTACGTTTGGCATTTAATGAAAACCCGTCTACACAGCAAGCTCTCTCGAGACGCACTGATACAAATGTCACGGCACTCTATGTAAACCGGCTTTCCATAGATTGTTGAACGATTTATCAAAATTCGGGGTAGTAGATTCAAATTCCAATAACTCTACACTGCTTTCATGCACACATACATACACATTCATCCACACAATACAATACGCAGTACGAATCTATCACCTTTTTTCGATAGATCACCCGATATCTTTTTATCGGGAATAATCGATAAATTTGTAGAGTTCTTTAGGCATAACTTGAACACTATTAGACCTAGAGACTTCAGCTTTACTGTGTATATACATCTGATGAATACACAAATTCGTAATTTACAGATTTAGGGTACCACGCCCCCCTCGTCATCAATTTCCAAAGTAGAAACTTGTGCTACGGAATATACATACATATGAACATTATGATCACGCTCTGTAGTTTCGCTTGAAAAGCTAGGCAAATCTATAGCTTAACACGAAGCTTACTGTCGAGGCGCTCTAAAAGTTGGCTCCAGTTTCCAAGCGAAAAAGTGTTGCATACTTTTCAGCGGGCGCTTGAGGCAACTGTCCCTTGCCTGCTGGCTGTTTCCATATAGCAGGAAGATTCTTCCCCACTTGATGTCGTTCAAGCTTAAAGCTCATCGAGCTCTGCTAACTGATAGTTAAATACACAGTTGATTGCTCGAGCCAAATAAACGGATGGCACATGTCGCAGCGAATGATGATTGCCGCTTAACTGGACAATCAGCCTGCCCCCTCAGCGGGGGCCATTCGGAAAGTGCAACACTCGAGCCGGCTGTTCACCCCTAATGACGCTCCACTGGGCTGGGCTCAGCCCCAAATCGGAGTGCGGCGAGCATTGGGCAAAGAGTGTAAGAGAACTAACTAAATTCAGAGTTTTTGTGTGCATTATTTATTTAGGGAAGTTTGCCGTCAATTTGATAGCCACATGTTGCTGTTGCTGTTGCTGCAACCACCGAGCCACCCAGCCCAATAGACGACCTGTCTTTGTCTAGTATATATATGCTTTTATAGTTGATTAAGGCATATCAAATGTCAAATGTCGCTGTAGAAGACGCTGCGCTGCCAGTTGTAAAAACTAAACAAAGAGGAAGAAAACGCGGCTGGGTTGTTTCGGTTCGGTTCGGTTTTTATGGTGCGGTTGAGTGCGGCACACACATACGCGCAGGTAACTGCTGGCACACACACACACACACACACACACGCAGTGTGGGTCATAAAACAGAAAAGAAAAGTAAAGTAAAGAAATGGCAGCAGCAGAAAACAAGAAATACAATTTTATATGCTACATATAACTCCCTCTCCCCCTTTTCCCCTCTCTCTCTCTCACACACGCTCTAGCTCCCTCTACCATCTCCCCCACTCACTGTCTGTCTGTATGTCTGTTAGTCTGTCTGTGTCGCGGGTAAGGCAACTCAATTGGCAATGACGCGCCGCGTGATGGCTGCGAGTGCTGCTCGCTTTACAGGAAACGGAAATTGAAGCATAAAATTGCCAAGTTGCAGCGAAAGCCAAGCCAAAGCCGAAACCCAACAGCAAGCAGCTGATTGTGCTCGACTAAATGTTACCCTGTAGCATACAAAAACAATCACTTAAACCCCTTCTAAATATATGCAAAGGCTTTGCTAGCAGACGTGTCAAGCTCATGTCAAGCTGCTGTCAAATTGTTGCTACTACAATTACATATTCAGTTTAGAGCATGGCTTTTATAACTCTTGTAGCTCATGCTTAAGCTGTTACAGCATGTCAAGCTCATGTCAAACTTCTGTCAAATCAGCGTTAGCCTTTAAGAGACCCACAAGGACGTATTAAGCTTGCACCAATTTTTGGCTAAAATGTAAATGTTAAGACTTGCACCTCATGCCAAGTTTGTGTCAACCAACTGTCAAATTGCTTTTGCCCTGTAGCAAGAGTTAAATGCCTATAGCTCATGTCAAGCTCATGTCAAATTGCCAACTAGAAAGCTAACACAGATACTATGTATAAGTGCTTTCCCCAAGCAACTTCATTCTACTGCAACAGATTCTTAGCTCTCTAAGGCTGATTGCATGTTCGGTCCATCACATCCTTTGCACCCATTGGCAATCCGCATACAGGGTAGCTGAACAGGAGGAACACGCAAGCAGCGGAAATAAGTTTGTTTAACGTTGGAATTGTGTACATTATCCATGGATTCGCTAACATTATCCGCATATCAAATGCTCGAACAACTCCAGCTGCAACTGTCAATTATAAGCGAAGCGAAGCGAACAAAATGCAACCAATAAGTCCAATTGGAGCTCCATGGCTATGTCGCCAGATCAACTGATAAGGTCATTAGAGCTGCGAATATTTCAAGTTCACGTCAAAGCCACTTTCACTGCTGAAAACTAAGTGAATTGGGACAATGATGGAGATTTAGTTGAGCTCAGATCTCGGGCTTGGCCTGCTTCTATGCTGGAATCAGAGTGGAAAAGTGATGCGAAACACTTGGCCTAACCATGATCTGCTCTACCAATGTTTAGCTCCTGCTTTTAAATGTTGACAAGCAGTTGGACTTTGATGTAGTTCACAAGTTCTTCTCAAGCACTTCTTAAGGCATAAGTTCTTATGAATCTCTTAAGCTTAGCCGGATATTGAATTGTGCTTTAGGCAGCGTCGCCTCAGTTCCTGTTTGACTTCCACTGTCAAATGCTGACAGGCAGTTGGTAAGTGACAAGCTGGTCTTGGTCCGTCGGTCTGTCGGTCGCAAGTAAATCATGCGCTTCATTTGCATTTATCAACTGGCGGTCCATCAAGAGGCACACACACACACGAGCACACACACATACACACGCTGTGCGTAGCTGCGGCTGACAGCGTTTGGGTGTGGGCAGTGGCTACCGGTGGGCGTGGCTTGACTTGATGCGGTGCTCAATGTACTTCAGCCTGGTGGTGACTTTTACAAACGATAATTAATGAAATCTGACAGTGTGCACAGCCAGCAAACACCCCCTCCCCCTGCCCCCGTTTCATGCGCCTAGACAAAGTACTACTAGTCAAATGGACTGCGGCAACGCTGTGAGTGTGTGCGTGTGTGTGTGTGTGTGTGGGCGGGTGGGGTGGTTGGGGCATGGCCTTGGTGCGTTCGATGCCGCTGAATGGCCTTAATGAGAAATCGTTTTAATTGAGTTTGCATGTTTATGGCTGCTCCTACACTTGAGCAGCGCGCTGCTATTGCACTTTTTTCTTTGTTGTTGTTGTTGTTGTTTAACCACTGTCTACTAGTAGTACTGCTGCTGGCCGTTAGAGGTCGCCCCCACCGTTTTATATGCGCAATTACTTTGAAAGCAACTGCGACAACGAACCCCCCTACAAAACCTACAACACAGACAAGCTGTGTGTTTGTCTGTCTGTGTGTGTCTGTCTGTGTGTGTCTGTGTGTGTGTGTGTGTGTATGGGTTATTTCAACCACATATTGTCATGTACAATGGCATCATTTGTGGGTGTTTGGCCATGTGTCTGTGTGTGTGTGTGTGTGTGTGTGTGTGTATAGGCAGCCGAGTCGTGCCACAATCAATTTTTGGGGCGGCTGGGGCAAGGACAACATCAAATGTAACCGCATGCTGCCTGCCGCCTGATGAGGGTCAATTGTCCATTAGTATACATGTGTGCGTGCGTGTGTGTGTGTGTGTGTGTGAGGAGACGCATGTGGCGCCTGTTGGCCTGGCAACTTTTGCCCTAACAACAAAGGCAACTGGAAGCTGTTGTTGCATTCGCCAGCAAACGAGGCATCAACTGGCGGCAGCTGCCGCATAATTATTTGTTGATTATGTAAATTTCAGGCGCAGCGTGGCAAACTCTATTAATAGTTGCCAGTCAGGCATACCCTGTTTCACATGATATCCAAAGGGATATCAGCAGCAGCAGCAGCAGTCGCCCACAGCTGGGTGGCCTGACTTGCCTTGGCCTGCTCTGGCTCAGGCTCTGGCTTCGGCTTTGGCTTGGGTTTGGCTTGGGTTTGGGCTTTGGCTTGGCCTGGCCCGGTCTCGTTGTCTGTTTGTGCAACAAAGCAAATTGCTGTAATCCATTTTGCAGGCAGGCGCATCAGCTGCTTGTTGCAGCAAGCTGCTGCCACTGCTGTCGCTGCTGCCGCTGCTGTCGCTGCCGCTGCTGCTGCTGCTGCTGTTGGCGCTGTTTGTTATCAAATGAAATGGATTTTTATTAGATTTTGCCTGCAAAAGGCAAGATTTAAATTTATTTCACGTTTTTTTGTTCGCCTCTTTGTTTGCTTCTCATTTTTATTCCTCTAGTTGTTGTTGTTGTATTTTTTATTGCATTTTTTGTTTTTCTTTTCTATTTTTCATGTTCTGCGCTTTCGACCGCTTTGTGTTCAAGATTAATGAGTGCGAAATGTAAAATCCAGCGAAAAAAAAATGAAAATACCGAAAAAAGAAAACAGCAACAAAAATAAAGCGCCAGCTAGAAGAAGAGTTGAGTAACGGCATTTGTTGTTGTGCCACACCCACCTCATCACACACACACACAAGCCGCCGTCCCGCTGGGACTCCTTTCCTCATAGACAATGGCGGCTAAACTTTTATTTACAGCTATAAATAAGCAAAGAAAGCATAATACGTATAAAAATACCGTTGCAGCAAGTGTCAAAGATTCCAGCCAGATATAGACTAAAGCTCCAGAGCCCATAAGTTTACGGAACTCTCCTCAGGTAGTCCTTGGGGAATGGTCTCAATGTGTGAGACTTTTGACCCCAGTACTTCTGGCAACTAAAAGTCAAATCAATTCATTTGCTATGTGTGATTGGTATTTATGGTATATCTGATATGCTTCATATATATATTGGTATTTTTGTCAAGTTTCATTTATTTTAATAGAATTATTATCATATATAGTTTTGGTATTTTTAGTATTTTTTAATGTAGTATGCTAAGCTGTTCCAAGTTTGGTGTGCTCAGTATATTTGGTATGTATTTTCTTGCTTCAAGAAATGTTTGGTATTTTTCGTATGTTAAAATTTTTATACCCTGAAC